AAATCTCACCCACAAGCTCACACACAAACCTACCCTTTCTCACACTCTCTCACACACTCCCACCCTCTCCCACCCTCCCTCACCCTCTCTCGCCTCTTCTCACCCTCTCTCGCCTCTTCTCACCCTCTCTTAACCTTCCTGACTCACTTACACACCCACTAACGCACGTCTATCACCACCCTTCGCGTTGTAGTGCTCTCCTGCCCTGGCTGCATCCCCGCTATCATCAAAACGCTGATCTCGTTGGCCTGCTCTCCCACATCAAAGTCCTGCACCACCAGCCCGGCGTGCACTAAAAGCCCGGGCCGCGACTCTACTGTCTCGATTTACATGAAGAAGATTACTAGGGTAGCGTTTACAAATTTCCCTCTCGTTGCCACAGATGGTCCATTATTAAATTTCTAGTGTTTGTATATTCTTGATAGTCCCTCATCTTTGCTCATGTAGCGCAAAGAGCAGACAAACTCCCTACAGGAGCAGTATGAGTTTCTAGAGAGCTCCCTGGCTCAGTCCACAGTGGCGCAGCATTTCCACCTATTACGGCATCAGACATTGGCTGTTCACGAAGTGGTGTTCCATTACCTTACCCTCTGTCTTCCACACACATGTTGTGAAGGATAATGCAACACTGCATGACGTCATGCAAGAAATCTGTGCTCCAGAATCGCCCAGGACGAGCAATTATGTTCCATTTTGACTGTAACACCCCGAAAGCTCTCTCGACGTCCTTTCGCGCAGCTTCTTGGTTCCGAGTCATACACTTTTCTTTCTCTGTCAATGGTTCGGACAACGTATGAACAAATACGGGCCATTTCGGATATATACCATCTACCAGCCAGTAGGGAATGTTGCGTACGTTTTCCATTAAATTGTACTCAACAGGAGGAGGGTAGCTACCATTTGCGATATTATTTAGAAGTGGCGATGCGTCGAGAACGTTGATGTCATTGTTACAACCCGGCATGCCGAAAAAGGCATGCCAGATCCAGAGCGAGTGATCAGCAATAACCTCGAGTGTGACAGCGGCAACCCCTTCCTTCCTTTGATATTGTCCGTGCCATGCCGTAGGGCAACTTTTCCAAGTCCATTTACAGCAATCAATGCTACCAAGCATACCCGGAAAGCCGCGCCGCTCTGAATGAGCAAGAATACGTAGAATATCACTAGAGGTGGGATGGCGCAAGTAAGTAGGACCGAAGGCCGAAATAACTGCCCTAGTGAAATGGCGTAAAGTTTGAGATACGGTAGACCCACTCATCCGTACATACTCATCAAATGGGTCAGTTGACGATCTGTAGGCGAGCATACGAAGTGCTGTAGTCCCCTTTTGGTAGCTTGTGAGACCCAGCAATCCAATGCAGTCTTTCTGTTAACGGAAATACTTATCTTCGGCTTCTATGGTGTGCATCACACTTCTGAAACGCTGCCTTGTGATCCTCAAACGTCTTTTGAATGAGTCATCATCGTACACTGGCTGCTCTGAGAAGTAGTCTTGATGGAGCCTCTCCGCGCCATTGTGTCGACCGCGGTCTTTGTTCGGCGCCTTTCCAGGACGAGCACCGCCATGGGTGCGGTCTTCATCGCTGCTGCTTGTGTCGGACAGGAGCTGATCCATGACATTGATATCTTCATTGTCATTTGCGTTCTGCCACCATTGGGACATAATTGGTCACAGAATGGCTGTTGTTCAATTGAGCCAATGAGTGCGAAGGGGGGTACGAGGAGAGGATACAAGGGCGTACGAGGGGAAGGAACGCGGGTGAGTACGAGGGTCAGTAAGAGCGTACTACACAGTATTTGGTTCTGACCGGTGAGGCCGTGTTTTTTGAAATACAGTGAACCCTCGCTATCTGAATCCTTGTTATGTGAATATCCGCGATATGTGCATGCCATTGCTCGGAACGAGCTCCGGGGCGTTGATTGCAGGTCACATATGAGGTATTCATGAATACGGCCTAACTGAATACCACAAGCACATCTTAATCATAACAGGCCTCATACAAGAGCATTCTATGAGACAAAACTGAGCTATGATAACTTATTCATTATAAATGTGGTTCAATTTCCAGTTTTCCTGGGCAATCGAAAATGGACACACCTCGAACGCGCAAACCAAGCCAAGCAGACCCGCATTACTCAATATTTTGGTTAAAACTTATGGGATTGTTACATATTTGGGCTGTATATGAAACATCCTTGGAAACTGAATATGCACTTTAATTGAATGCGGAAGGAATCAGATATCGAGGGTTCACTGTATCAAATAACCAAAGAAGCAAATCACCAAATTCCCACCAGCCAATTGAGTTCTAGAAAAAAAGTGCCAAGTGTTCTTGTTTGGTCATTTGATCACCTACCGGTGGTGATGCTCTAAGGACGGAGCCATCGTTCCTGCACCACAAAAGTGACTTATTGAGAACAATTTCCACATAAATCATGTATCTAGGCTCTGGACGTGATTTTTATGAAAGACGTAATGTTCATACAGTATAGGACGGAAAACATTCTGTTACGTTTCAACCGTTGCGTTTCGCTCGGCTAGATCTCATTGAGACTATCACGCTACAGGGGATAGCACTAAATAGTGCTACCCCCTGTAGCGTGATAAAATAGGCACTAAATCGGGTTTGGCACAAGAACGGTAACGTAACAAGAAGACTGTATGTATTTATTTGCATAAACTTAAGACAGTACGCTGGTCAAACATGGAGTTCCAATTCATTCATACTTTTTTATTTATTTATTTTTTATATGCGGAGAATGTTTTGAAATAGGGATGCGAACGAGCGTAATGAGTCAATTGCAATGGTAGTGACCGGTTGCTGTGGACGAGTAGCTGGAGGAGGGAAAACATGAATTTATGAAAGACAAGGGGTGCATGTAGGAATACGGAAGGGAAGGAAGGAAAGCTAGGGAAAATGGGAAGCAGGCGGATGAGGAGGAGAGAGAGTTGTGGTTATGTCTGAGCCGCCGCTGTTATGGGTGTTACTACTGTTCGCTGTGCCCTTTTGTATTACGTCGTTTACTCTGCGACCATAGTCTCGCTATACGGCTTGTCTTGATGATACGCGACTTTTTCGCACGATAAGGAAGACTAGGTGGGGATTTGGCTGTGGTAAAAGGGAGTGCCCCCTGGCCAGGAGACGTGTGGAGAGGGATGTGCACAGTACAGTATACGTAGTAAACTTTACTGTAGCGATATCCAACAATTGGCAGAGTAAATTCAGCTGTTTTTTGAGCTGTTTTTTGTATTCTACAGTGGGTGCAGTATCCATCGCTGTGCTTCGGGAAAACACGGTCTGTTCGACAAGTTTTACGTATTACTGTTTGAAGTCTGCCGATAGCGCTTGCGTGACGTATCTGGAACAGTACCCCATGTTATGTGCGGTGTGTGACGTGTTTCCTTGTGCCCATTCTCCGCGGAGTGTGTGCTGTGCCACCTTGCACCGCGGAGCTGCAACCTGAACACGTTTTTTGGAAAATAAATGCTCTTCGGCACAGCTTACAAACGACATCCTATGACACCTAAGGGGACGAAGGACGCACGGAAGGTCCGTAAGTACGCACTGCATCAATTTCTGCACAGTTGAATTTTGAATAGGCGGTGCTTTTCGCAAAGTTGGAGAATGGCAGCCTGGCAATAATTGCTGCAGGCCCGTCTCCCAAGGAGAGGCAGAGGGAGGGAGCGTACCACTCGCAGCAGCACACTCAGTCATAGAACTCATTGTCTGCTTTCCGCCTTCCGTTTTCTTCACGCATGTCGGGGTCTAGATTATCATTGTTGTCGTCTGAAAAGTAACTTATCCCTGATGGAACAGTGTGCATCTGCACAGACGGGGCTGCATCCAAACAGCGCAGGTTTTCCATGATCTTTTCCACCATCTTCTCCAGGTAGTCTTTGGAGTTCATGTCCACCATCTTCTTCGGCGGGAAATGCAGCTTGTGCTCCGGAGCGAAATATTCCCAGTAGTCGTTGTAGGGAATGGTGTCATCAAGTTTTCTGTCGAGAAGAATCCCCGTCTCATTCGACCAGCATCTGGCGACGCTGCGAATATTGTAACCGCCGCCTCCCAGCACGAGCATCGGGATATTAAACTCCTTGACGATCTGGACGCAGGCGGCATGCCCCTCAAGCGTGAGATTCAACGTCCCGATGCGGTCGTTGCACAACGAATCTGCGCCGCACTGCAGAACGACGACTGAGGGACGAAACATCTCCATTACTTTTGTGATGACAGTCTTGAAGAGTTGCTCGTAGCGGGCATCTGTGATGCCATCCATGAGCGGGCAGTTGACGGCGTAGTACCTTCCGCGACCGGCACCGATATCCCAAATATCGCCCGTCATCGGAAAAAAGTCGTTGCCGTACTTGTGAAACGAGACCGTCATGACTCTGTCGGTGACGTAGAACGCTTCCTCAACGCCGTCGCCGTGATGCACGTCAATGTCAACATACAGCACTCTAGGGTAAAAGCGGAGCATCTCAATGATGCCAAGGACGATATCATTTGTGTAACAAAACCCCGAGGCTTGCCCCTTCTTTGCGTGGTGCATACCGCCGGCCCAGTTAATGGCTATGTCGGACGTGCCCGCCATGAGTTTCCGGGCCCCGTCGATGCTCCCCCCGACAGAGGTTTGGCAATATTCGAAGAGGCCGTCAAAGACCGGGCAGTCGAGGTCCGGCCGGAGGTTGAGGTTGAATTTGGTGAGCTGGGCTAGATGTTGCGGTGCGGTATCGGGGTTTATGCGTTGCAGAAAAGACACGTAGTCCGCCGCGTGGAACTCTTTGAGCTCTTCGGGCGAGGCTTGACGTGGGCGGTAGATTTCCTGCGCAGGACAAGGCGGAAGCGTGGGTTATTGGGTCAGCAAAAAAAAACCAAACCAAAAATTTTTTTGAGCGGGGAAGGCGAGGGAAAGCATAAAAAATGCAACTGGGGCTGTGGCGGGGCGGGCGGTGGCGGCCTTACCATTTTGCGATAAAGACCTGTGTTGAGGCGAGATGTAAATCAAAATTTGTCAGGATGGCCAATGTCATTGCAGCACAAAGGCATACTGTATCGGTGCGTGAAATAAAAGAATCGTACGCGCTGCTTTGGGGCTTTAAAACAGAACCTGCAAACTAACCATATGCCAGCACAAGATTATGGGTCATAGCGATTCGATGAGGCTTCATGGGATGGTCCTTTCCATAATAGTATCCACCGACGTCATGATCCATAAAGTAGGAAACTCTCTTCTTGGACATCTTGGGAACGCGAAACAGTGAAAAGAAAAGGACCAAAAAAAGAAAGCGGAGGATCGAAAGAAGGCAGCGGAGGGGGATGTGTAAAGGAAGAAGGTCCCCTTCGGAGGGTGAAGGCGAGCAGTTTCTTTGTTCGCTAGTTGAAACGCCATGCGCCGCTTTTATACTCTTTGGACGAAATGGGAGTATGATAACTCGGGCGGAAAGTGATGGGATGTCACCACTGGGCGCGCGGGGTTTCTTCAAAATCAAGGCGCCCTGATTCGTTAGAAAAGAGTACTTGTGTGCGGCTGATTGGTTCGCTTCAGGGGAGCTGGCCAGCAATCGTGCACAGTCCGCGGGGAAGAGCGAAGATTGGGTTGCACGACAAACACAGAGAGAATTTAAACGATTTTTTTAATGACGTTTATCCGTCTCATCAACAACGCGCGAGTATAGCGTCTATGTACCGTCGAAACGACAAGCGACTTCGCCTCTTATGAAGTCTACGTCTTTTTTGCCGGAGCTTGTATTGATTCGAACACATGCACCAACGAAAAACTTTTTCGTTTCAAGTCAGAGTTTGACTTTCGACTCCACCCGAGCATTAGAGAGATCATCAGGTCTAACACTCTCACGGATGACTCAAACTGTGCATGCAGCTTTCAATACTGTATGAGAAAGGCTTTTAGAAGCTTCCAAAAACGCGGTGTTCCCTGACAATCTTACACAATACAATGTGTTGCGGTCAAAGATATTCATATTCCATTCAGTAGGAAGCTCAACTCCCCGATATTGATCTATCTATGAGCTCGTATGGGAGTCCCCACAGAAATCGTCATAAATTCACATTTTGATCACTGAGTAAAGTTATCTGGGTTTTCACTAAAATGTCGTACAGTGCCTCCTACGATATAGTGCTATAGTGAGCCATAGCACTATATAGAGGGAAGCACTACTAAAGTAGGCACTATTGAGCGACCCCCCCCTGTACGTGTACAGTGACTAGTCACTGTACACGATATAGGGCCTATAGTGCTTGTAGATGCAAGCAATCTTTTAGTGCACTACATATAACTTTAGGTCAAATTGGGGCACGCACAGTACAGTATCATAAAAACTATCATATAAAAACCAGCCTGTTAAGACACACCCTGAATCAATGAAGGATATTTTACGGTGTAAGGATCCTTATTTTTCAAGTCACTGGCAAAATTGAATTTTGTATTTGCTATGCAATTCTATTGGAACTATACAGTGCTATACCTTATGCCGATTTGCAATATATATCGAAATGGAGTACAGGGGGGGGGGGGGGGGGGGGGGGGCGGGGGGTCGCGATATAGTGCCATCTTTATTAGTGTCGGCTCCGATATAGTGCAACCCTTCTGCGGGTGGCACGAATTTTAGCCAAAAACGAAGGGTCTCCAGAGAGGCAAGGCAGTTGGATGGACGTACTGCCCGAGAGTGGCTGCCGCCGCGGAAAGATATTATGCAGTTGCTTACTAGAATAGAGACTATGGCGGAAAAAGGCAGGGTCGATGATGCAATTGGACATGTGCAAAAGGGCAGGCTGGCATTTATGGCTGCGAAAAAGGAGGAAGTCAATGCGACGGCTCGGCAGCTACTAATAACATAAATGCTTGATTAGACTTGAGTATGTAGTGAAGATGCAAAGTACAGTATGAGGGATGGCGTCCTGCGAGCGGCCTTTCTGAGCAGTGATGCAAGGGAGTGGTGGCTGCAAAAAAGCCGTAAATCTCATTATCTTACAGTGCCTGGTTCGATATAGTGCCGTTTTCGGCCCACTGACATAGGGTAGCACTATATCGCGACCCCCCCCCCCCCCCCCCCCCCCTGTATGTCGAAATGGAGTAACTGTATTTAAAGACAGGGCAGTGTCCTAGCAGTGATGTACCAACCTACATTCCTACTGTAAATGGCCAGGGCCTCCGTCTGACCAACTTACTGCAGTAAGCAACGTCTTTGCGATCATATTATCCAGGTCCCAACCGACAATCTCCCAACATCTTGGCACCATTGGCCAACATATTTAGAGGTAAATTCTGTCCGGAAAATACCGTGAAAATTCAATCACAAAAGCGTTTGCGCCCGGGCTTTTAAAAACGTCATCCCTAAGGACGTTCGCGTGTCAGAGCCCTGGTTCGAGCCCGGTACCTCGACTTCCGTAGCCGTTCAGTCATCCCAAGACTTTTCAGCATCTAGGGATTTGTGTTTGTGATTCCTTCCTTTGCGATGAAAAACTCTGTTACGTCTTCGTCTACCGTCTCACGAATCCAGCCGATGTAGGCAGCGACAGCAGTGTAGATGGTGGCTCTATCACCCGATGTGCAGATGCTCTCAGCTTCGCCATCCGCAAGTCCTTGTAAACCAAAAGTGACGATACCTACAAGGACAGATACTTTGCCTGTCTTATCAACGTCATACAACGGGGCGCCGGTATCGCCAAAGCACGGACCGCAACTGTTGTTGCGCTTGGTGCAAAGACGGCGCTTTCCATCATTGCCAAAGCCGTCATCACATGCCTCGTGCTGCGATATGATGCCCTCGGCAACCCTCGGGGCACATATCTGCACTTTTAGCTTGTAGCCAGGAGACAACCCCTACAGGTCCCTAATAAAGATGGTTTTTGAAAAAAAAATCAATAATAATGTCACAGTTTATAACTCATATCTGAGAAACACATCCGTTGAAGCCCTCTCTATGTTGACATACATGCTGACATCAGCACTGCTGACATTGGAAGTTATGTCGACAGCGCAGGGATCATTTTTGTGTTGAACAATTACGGCATTACGGCTTAGGTAGTAAACGACGATGTTGCAGAGTGGCCTCATAGATTGTGAGGTCAATTGATCAAAAAAGAGGCAGACACAGGTCGATAGAATGGATCCTGGAAAGCAGGAATTTTCTTTTTGCTCAAAGAGTTCAAGTTGAGGTTTCTCCCAAAAATTGGGCAATCACTTCTCAGCATATTCTCCGCAGCAAGTGTCCAAAGCCTTCAACACCCGTGCCTTCGCCTTTGCGCTCAAACTGCTAGCCCCCTCTACTCTCTCCGTTATTACGTTTCTATACCTGGCAAACATCTTATTCAGTCTTCTCTCAATCACAGGTACCAACCCTTCGAAGTCCAATATATCAGGAAACGGCTTCGTGTGCAAAAAGAAGTAGAACGAAGCTTTGAACAAACTGTGATACTTTTTCTTTCGCTTTAAGGCAACCTTCTCGATCTCCCACGTTGCACATAAAAGCCCGTATAAGATGTTGAACACGCGGCAGTATTTTTTGGAAAAGGTCACAATACTGTCCCAGGTGGTTCTGACGATGGTCGCACCTTCAAGATTTGACAAAGCTTGCTTATTTTTTGGCTCTCCCTCCCTTCCTTTTCTGTTTCGTTCCTCATCCATATGCGCTTCATGCACGTCATCATCAGGTTCGCTCGTGGATCCCGTAGACTGGGGAAATGCCTGTCTGGGCAACGGGGCATTCCTGGGGCCTGCAGGTTTAGGGCGAAGCCTAATTTTAACTGTCACTCTGGGACGTTGGGGCTCGCGTTTCCGCTCTCCATTGCGGACGACGGAGATGTCAGATCTCGCGTTTCGTTCAACAAGAGAGTCCTTCTCCTTTCGGCGTTCCTCTACGGGCGGAGATTCTTCTTCTTTCACTGGTGACGCCTCTTCGCTCATCCTTCGTTGCGGGCGACCTTGACAGCGGGAAGAAAACCGAATAAAATCCGGCGATGGTTGCTCCCCGTTCAGTAGTCTTCGAACATTTCGTATGTCCGTTCTAGTGCGATGTAGTCGTATCGCCAAGTGCTTTTCTTTCATGTTCATGAGCTTCTCGCAGACTGCTTCCAAGTAGTCGTCCTTTTCTCTTGACAATTCGAACAGTTTCAGTTCGAGTGATTGTGACAATTTCCGTAACTCCTCTGTTGGTTTTGTAAGGAACATGTCTGTAAAATTTGGGATAGGTTCAGGTCACAGAAGCAAATGCGATTACGGTCAGATATCACACAAGAAAGGATTTCGCCAACCTAGGCTTTCACATTTCCTAAGCACAGATAAATGCATCCATACCATGACCTTGAATGTCGAAAAGTCGCACGGCCTTTTCTCTTTCTGTGAGAAAAATTTCTCCATCCCGCTCGGTCGAAGGTAGTGGTTGAATCCTTGGATGAACGTCATCTTTTTCCCCTTCTAATGACGCTCTCAACTCTTTCTCCAAGCGGGCCTGTGCGGCATAGTCTGTATTTTCTCTCAAGAGGCTGGCGTATTCATCTTTTAGCTGTCGGAATTTTTCTTCCATCCACTTCTGTTCCTCGGTCTTTTCTGGCGGAGCTGATACGGTGATTCGTTCATACAGCGGGTTTTCGGTAGCTGGTTCTTCACGGTCACCGTTTTTCATTTTTGTGGAAAAAAACTACTAACGCCTCGAGCGACAAAATATTTGGAACCAACAAGTAACTGGAATCGATGGCCTCATGTCCCAAGACCTAATAGAAAACTTAAAGGTTGGTTGTTATTTGTGCAAAAACGAATTTCTTAAGTGGACGCAAAGGCTGGGAAAGACACGCAACCATTGCCTCCTTGTGTTGCATTTCAAAACGAGACTGGCCAGATTGCTCTCCATCAGAATTTAAATGGATGTCGACACTCGTATGAACACTGGTGCGTCAGAACGCGAAGACGTCGATGTAATCGAATTGAACTTCTAAAATGCGACCCAAACAAGTCAAATCTGCCGCTGCAACTCGCTGAGATAAGTTCGTATGGAAAAACCTTCTCCTTTTCCGTCGCCGCGTGAGTGCATGTCGACAAATAAAGCATAGATGTCTGAATAATTTTATGACATCGTTTCTTTCGCCTTCACCTCACGTGCTGCTCCATTCTTTTGCCAAGCTAGTGTATCTTCGATCGGGGCTTGTTCTCATGTGAGTACAGCCGTTTTTTTGCAAAATAAATAAATTAAATTGAACATTTAAAAAGCTATCTTGGGCACTATTTCCTTAACGCACTTGTTTTCGCCAGTAACATCTTGCAGAACACCGGGATAGCAGCTTTGAATACGCAGAAAGATTAAGAATATAACGCAGATTGAGGTCATAGTTCCCTTTTTAAACTGGCGTTTTTGGTTTCGAAGTTATTTTACATGCCGTTTTAAGGTGGTTTACAAAACCTTCTTTTCCAGACATATCTAAAAACGACCACGAAGAACATGCCATTCTCACAAAGTTCTTTTTGTCCCTAAATCAGAAGGCCAGTACGGTGGCGGGGGTATCTTTTTCTTTCTTGTCGAGGAAGCGGAAGTCAAGAATAAGATAGGTCGAATAACGTCCTCATATGAGGACAAAGATCCAATAGACACTAGTTATCTATGCTGTATTGAGCAATACACACTACTAAAATTGGGGATCGTGATA